CGCTGTGGCTCAAGTGGTAGAGTGCTAGCCTTGAGCTGAAGAGCTGAGGGACAGTGCCCAGGCCCAGAGTTCAGGCCCCACGACCAGACCCCCCCTTGCCCCCCCCAAAAAAAGAGAGATCAATTTTCAAAATTTTCCCCACTTGTCTGTGAAATTGGAACTTCCTTAGTCTGAGAAGTTCTAAGAGTTTGGGGTTTCATAAAATACATTCCACAAGCTGGGTGCCGGTGGCTCACGCCTGTAAGCCTAGCTACTCAGGAGGCTGAAATCTGAGAATCACAGTTCAAAGCCAGCTGGAGCAGGAAACTCTGTGAGACTCTTATCTCCAATAAACCACTAGAAGTGGTGCTGTGGCTCAAGTGGTAGAGCACTCACCTTGAACTGAGGAGCGCAGGGAAAGCGTCCAGACCCAGAGTTCAAGCCCCACGACCTCCCATCCCCCAAAAAATGTTCCACACCAGCCTCTCCTCTTTTCTTATGTATCTTTCTTACTTTTTCTTATGTACATTGTACCTAGACTCACAGTAACTACTTTCATAAAGCATTCTAGCAAGACAAGCTCATTCTCCTTAGGACCAATTTCTTTATCACTTTTCTCTTCACCTTCTATAATCAGAAAATTTTTGCTTCCTACAGTGTTAGAAGTTATTCAAGGTGTCTAACATGGTGCTGCACATTTAATATATGCTTGTTAAATGAAATTCTTAATATACTAAAAACATATTAACTAAAAAGCTTAAAAAAGCTTCTTACCTCTCCCTTTTCATTTCGTATTCTTCTGTTAAAATCTTTACCTTCTAGACACAGAAAATCTTCCCCAGGATGTAATATTCCACATTTGGTCGCAATAGCTCGGGCAGTATTAATATTATCACCAGTAACCATTCGCACAGTAATTCCAGCCCTCTGACATTTCTTTATTGCATCTGGTACCTGGTTTACATAGAAAAAAAGTCCTGTTACAATAGAAAACTAAAATTTCAAAGACAAACATCCTACTGAAACAACATGTATTTCTAGGTGGCCAATATTTCTTGAATTATTCCTAGTTGCCTTTTCTTTCCAATTCCACTGGTACAGACTTAGGTCAGGTTTTGTTTTTAGCTGGCATCAGTTAATTTGTGTGCACTACTTATTTCTTAAGGCTTTTAAAGCATCTTTCCAGCTGGCAAAAAACCACTAGGCATTTTTTTTGTGGTTTGCTGTCTAAATTTCTGATTTATTGACACAAGTAAAATGTTAGTGCTCTTTAGACTTAAGATTTCAAAGTTTTTCCCCTCAATCTGTATCTTTTAAGACTTAATTCACTTAGCTCTCAGGCCATGTGTTAATGACTTTCAAATCTGTATCATTCTCTTATCTCAGAATTGTATTTATATTTCCGCCAGATAGATGCCAGTATTTGAATGACTAAAAAAGACTTATTTAATAATAACAGAAATTTAGAGGTCATTTGTACTTTCTCTTCCATTTTCCTGCCTCTATAAACTCTTAAGGACCAAGGATTCCTATGTTTCTATCTCAAGCCTCCCTTGTAATGTCCTTAGTGCTTCCTGCAATGCCTTTTTTCCTTGTATATGTGTTTGATACTGGGGTTTGAACCCAAGGCTTTCCATCTGCCAGGCAGGGGCTCTAAAGCTTGAGCCATGCCTCCAGAATTTTTTCTCTGGTCAGTTTTGAGATAACGTTTCACTTTCTGCTTGAGCAGGCCTGGAATGTGATCTTTCCCAATGTGATCTCTACCTCCCAAGTAGCGAAGATTACAGGCATGCCCCCACTAGTAGTATCTGGCTTGAAATGCCTTTTTTTTTTTTTTTTTTTTGCTCAAGGCAAGCACTCTTTATCACTTCCCTGCAATGGCTTTTTAACTGGTATCTCTGCTTTCATGCTCTTCTTCCTTTATATTAGCTAATATACCTTAGGATAGTTTTGTTTCACTCATTCATTCACTTATTCATTTATCCATTTTTTGTGGTACTGGAATTTGAACATATGTCCTTATTGATGAGCCAGACTTCTATCCCTTTTTCACACTGGTTATTTTTTAGATATTTCTGCCCTGGTGTGTACCTTGGCTCCCATCTGCTTATTTTAGATTCCCTTTCATACCTAGGAAAATAGGTGTGCACTACCACATCTAGCTCTTGGTTGAGAAGAGCTCTTGTGAACTTTTCAATCTTGGCTGGCCTCAAACTTTTGATCCCTTAATCTCAGCCTGTAGATAGGATTGCATGTGTTGGACATTGGTACCAAGTGTGGTAGAGTTCTCTTAGTTATTTATTAAGTTATTTATTTGTGATACTTGGTATGTCTTGAACTCAGGGACTTGTGCTTGCCCAGGCAGCACTTTGTTGCTTGAGCCACACCTCCAGCCCAGCTTTCTACTGGCCATTTTTAGAGACACAGATGTTTGAACTTCAATCCTCCAAATCTCAGCTTCCAGGGTAGCTAATATTATAGGTATGAATCACTGGTTCCTGGCTGTAGTTCTTTTTCTAATGTACCAATATACTTTGTTTAAAATACACAATAACTTAGTTGTTAAACACAAACCACAAAAGTTCTCAGTGTCAAAGAGTATCACAATTCAGACTCAGAATAGTTTTCAAGATTTACTGAAAACTCTTCTCTAAGGTATACAAGTTGATTGACGAATAGTCTGAATAATGTATATAAGTTATTTGGATGTCTCTGCTACAGCAGTTCTTTTTTGCTTGGAACATTTTTTCCTCTTCCTCTCTAACAAGATAATCCATGTTGATCCTACTAAAGCAGAGTAGCATATTCAAATGGCTACAGGCCATGCAGGTAACACAAGAAAAAAAAACAGGCTGAAAAAGACAAACACAATAAATGCCTATGAAAAAGCCACTCAGCTCTGGCCTATTTATGTCATGGTACAATATTAGCTCCATGTTAATAGACTTTAAGATTATAACAGAAAAGAAGGTTTCAAATGAGAGGATTTGAGTAGTCTCTCAGTATTTAGTATTTTACTCTACCAACCTTCCTCAATTTGATGGAATGTTATATTTCTGGGGAAATATTGTTGTCACCATAGAGGTAATTTCCAAGGGTAGGGCACAATTCCAGACAGGAAAACACCTAACAACCAACAACTTACACACGTATCTAAATGTAAATATTTACATTATTACATAAGGCCCTCTACCCTCCTATCTTACTGGAGGGATATTACATGCATTCATTCAAACTACTGTTTACTGAATGTTAGGCACTATACTAGGTCCTAGTGATGGAATAGGGTGCTAAAGGATAGAGCCTGCTCAAATTATACTTGATAGGAAAACATATAGAAAGTACACAAATGATTTCCGGGTCAGGGGTGCAGCAGGGTAGGGGAGAAGTAGGGAATGGCTACCATTAAAAATGGAATTTCTTAGGTGATGAAAATGTTCTACAACTGAGCACAGTGATGGTGGTACAGGTTTTAGTGAGCATATTAGTGATAAACTGTACACCTTAAATAGGCTAAGTATGTGACACTGAAACTGTATCTCAATAAAGCTGTTTAAAAACAATTTTATGGAGTACCTAATAGCCTCAAAATACTTTTTAAACTTAAAATTCACAAATTATCTCCACCTTAAAAGATAAGAATGTTAGCAAGTTTAAGTACCTCTCTGTATGAAATCAACCTGGGATTGTTCTACATATCACTTAAAACTATATATTCTACAATATTAAAGAAAGCTGTTTCATATTAGTCTCATTTTAGTATAAATGTATCCAAGCTTATCTTGTGATACTGAAACAAGTGCTACTAACATATTTAAAAAGAGATAAAATCACTATGCTAAGAAGAAGTTGAAAGACACATTAATTTTTGTAGTTGTTGTTGTTCATGGGGCTTGAACTCTGGGCCTGGGCACTGTCCCTGAGCTCTTTAGCCCAAGGTTAGAGCTCTACCACTTGAGCCACAGTGCCACCTGTTTTTTTCTGGTGGTTTACTGGAGATGAGTCTCATGGACTTTCCTGCCTGGGCTGACTTTGAACCACGATCTTCAGATCTCAACCTTTTGAGTAGCCAGGATTACAGGCAGTAGCCACTGGTGCCCAGCTAGACATACTAATTTAATATTCTACTACTATGGATTTAGGCTACAAGTACTTTTCCCCATGATCAAAGGTTAGTGAATATTATGAAGTTTGGATATTCCATGGGCATTTGTAATTCCAAACCCTAAAAGATTTATTTTCATCTCTTAAAATGCAGTTTCTTCTGATTCTCTCATCATAGTGGTAATTTCTACTATTGACCAAGCTATGCAAATTAGAGAGATACTGGTTTCTTTCTTTGTAAATCTTATGTCCTCTTCCCTGGCTACACACTCCACAAGAAAGCCCTTTGAGTTTCATCGGTAATGTCTCTGGACTAAATCTCTTTATGTCTCTTTAGGTCTAAATCCTCACTTGACATTAATTTGGATGTCCCAGGTCTTAATAATATAAAAAACAGAATATCCAAACCCAGAACACTGATACTTATTAGTTTACATATATTTACTTTCAAATCATCTTTTTATTTTCTTCTTCTGTGCCACAACTGTAGTCAAAGTCATGAACATATTTTTCCTAGAATGACTGTAATAATCTTACTGACTCCTCTACCCCTAATTTTATTTCTTTAATCTCTCAAATAGTACTAAAAATGGTGTGTGTGTGTGTGTGTGTGTGTGTGTGTGTGTGTGAGAGAGAGAGAGAGAGAGAGAGAGTTTTGGAGCTTGACTCTGGGCCTGGGTACTGTCTCTGAGCTCTTCAGCTCAAGGCAAGTGCTCTACCACTTGAGCCACAGCACCACTTCTCGTTTTCTGAGTGGAATTAAGTGTCATGGACTTTCCTGCCTGGGCTGGCTTTGAACTGTAATACTCAGATCTCAGCCTCCTGAGTAGCTAGGGTTATAGGTATGAGCTCCCAGTGTCAGCTAATGGCAAGGCAAGGACTCTACCACTGAGCTACCTTCCCAGCCCTAATGGTATTTATTTTTAACAACACAAATGGTGCTACTTCCTAACTCAAATCTCAGAATACAATTCAGATGCCTCAATAAGGCCACAGATCATCTCATCTCACTTTTCCCTTCTTTAAACTTAAGAGCTGGCCTCCTTTCTATGTCTAAAATAGATCAAAACTTTTTCTCACCTTCAGGCCCCGAAATTTTTGTGTTTGCCTGTGAATACTCTACTTACAGCTATTTATGTCTGGCTCATGGTGAGCCATCATATCTCAGTTCAAAGTTTTAATGTGTTCTCCCTTGATTACATTATTTCATCTGTGCAAATCCTTCAGATCTAAAGCCCTAAATACACTTATTTCACATCATACTCCTACTGCTACCATCACAGAGACCACTACCACATATGCAATTCAAAATGAAAAGACTAAGAAAACAGGAACTAGTGCTACTCCTAAGAATTTTTTGTCCACTTGTCCTACTGTTCATGTCTGTTCTTTTACCTATTTACCTTCTTCCAGAATATTAACTTCAAGAGTGTTTATACCTCCCAGCAACATACACAAAGAATAAACTCAATGAATTAATATACTCATTGAACATATATGTTGCTGCTTTAGTCAGAAAATAGTGTGTTCACTCTCTGCGATCTCCTTATTGTTCTCTTGGTTTAGCTAACACCTCCTGATCCTTTAAGATTCCAAACAGGCAATTAACCTTGATAAAGTCTTACTTGATCCTTCCAGTGGGTAATACAGGGCAGTAACCTTTAAGGATGTGTTTTAAGACAGAGCTTGGCTTTCTATTTTCCAGAACGCTAAACATTTCATTTTTTAGAATTTGTCATGTGAGAGTAATGTATTTCCAAGAGGTGAACACTATAAAAAATATACTTAAAGAACTTGGTACAGTATCTTGTACATAATCAAAACCCAAGAAAATGATTCCACTTCTTGAGAGGAGGTTTAGAGTGCATGTTCTCTGTTCATGTAGTATGTTTTGTGTATGTCCAATAATGTAGGTCATAATGTTTTTTGTCCTCTCACTCAAGACAGTGAATTTTCTTTTGAGGTCAGAGATAGATTCTAAGCTCTTTGTGCCTTTACTACTACTAGAATAGTGCCTAGCACATTGGTTATGTGGTTGTTCCAATTCAAGGAATTGTGCTTTTTTATAAACAAAGAGAAGTTGTCTAACTGAACATCATAAAAAGGTACCAACACATCACAAGAATTGTTATTTTGTACATCGTGGGTTCACACAAAAAATAGTAATACCACAAATACTAAGAATTTTACTAGAAAACTGGTAATAGGTAACACCTATACTTAATCTCTATACTTAAAAAAGGGATTCTGCACATGCAGAACATAGTATATTTCACTACCTCAGGTCTCACAGGATCTTCAATCCCCACAACAGCAATGCATGTAAGCCCAGTGACAATATCATTTTCATTATCCCACTCTGGTTCTGGTTCTCCTGCTGGAAAATCTCTGAACGCAAGACATATGGTTCTCAAGCCTTCTGATGCCATTGGTTCAATCACAGTTTTTACAATATCATCACGGTCCCTTGGTCTGAATACTTTGGCCTCACCATTAGCACTCAAGATTTTGAAACACCTAAAAGGAAATGTTGAATCCAAACATCAATAGTGAGGAAAAATAATGGTAAATGACATTTGAGTGAACTGGAAGAGAAATTGTAGGATCGGATACCTAGAATTTAGGGAATTATGTATGTTCCATTCTTACAGACATAAATATCATTTTTTTCCTTTCCCTTTTACAAAACCGACAGTTCTAATTTGTATGGTTCCAAGTTCCTATAGATATTTTCTACATCTCTATATAGCATTAAAAAAATCATTTTACAGGGCTGGGAATGTGGCTTGGTAAAGTGCTTGCCTAGCATGCATGAAGCCCTAGGTTCAATTCCTCAGTACCACATAAACAGAAAAAGCCAGATGTGGCACTGTGGCTCAAGTGGTAGAGTTCTGACTTTGAGCAAAAAGCAGCTCAGGGACAGTGCCCAGCCCCTGAGTTAAAGCTCCAGGACTGGCAAAAAAAAGAAAAAAAAAACTATTGTTAATTAATATAAGCATTCTACCACAGAGAGCAATGTCAAAATAGTGCAATGTCAAAATAGCACAATGTCAATGCAGTCAATTCCAAGTTTTCTTTTAACTGTACAGTGCAATCACACACTTTATCCTCGTTTTTCTTTCTTTGTTTTCTCTCTTTTTTATTTTTGCCAGTTCTGGGGCTTGGACTCAGGGCCTGGGTATTGTCCTTGGGCTTCTTTTGATCAAAGCTAGCACTCTATCACTTAAGCTACAACGCCACATATGCCCTTTACTGTTTATGTAGTACTGAAGAACTGAACCCAGGGCTTCATGCATGCTAGGCAAGCAATCTACTACTAAGCCACATTCCCAGCCTATTCATTTTTCTTGACAATGCCACCTCTAGTTGCTATTACAGAGGTACCTGTTAAGTACATATTTCGTTTTGTTTTCTAAGGCTTTCTATCACTGCTTCGAACTTTCATGCAATATAGTACAAGAACCTTCATATTACAGCATAAAAGACAGGAAATTACCTTCTCACTATCCATGTAATAGGTACCAACATTACTTTAATACTTTTGATGAGTCTAAAATTTTACCTCAGTACTTACGTTCTTTATTTTCTAGGTAATGTTAATTTCTAAATTCCATATACCTTCCTTTGAATATGCCTACTCTTACTATTCTAACTTGCTGCCTTCTTCCAGGTAAAGCTATTGTATTAACAACTGTGTCTTCACTGGGTATCTGGCTCCAGTCAATCTTTTTTCTTCAATCTACCTTATACCTTGATGCAAGAGTTAATTTTAATAACAGCTTTGATGATGCCACTAATATTAAAAAAAAAACCCAGTTGTATTACCTAGCCTATTTGTTTTAACTGTTCAGTCTCATATTTAAATTTCTAGAAAAAAATGCAAATATTATTCTGGGGAGAAGGGGGTTACTATTTTCTCACTACATATTAGGCTATCAGGTCCATGGTAGACATTTTATACATATTGTTTTATTTCACTATTATACAGTTGCTGGTTATCACCCCTTTTCCAATAGGAGAAAATGGAAGGTAAAGGAAAAAAAATCTGCCCTATATCTAAAAGGTAATTGGTTGTAGAGAAACAGTACAAACTCTGATTGATTCTGACTGAAAAAAACAAAAAAAACTCTACTTTTACCATTGATCTGCTACCAAGCAAGCCTGGGAAAAGACTGATTTCTAGTTTTTCATAATGAAATCCGGCAACCAACTGTGTTGTGCAGAGATCTCTACGTGGCTGTGTGCAACAAAAGCCTCTCACTAGTCATCTATACTATACATATAATCAATTAGTCCCCTAATATGATCTGTGTATTTCCATCTCCTTTCTTCTGTTGCAAGTTCCTTCATTATGATGTTCAGATACACTAGCCAACCTTAAACACTGCATCTCTCATCTTAAAACTCTATCCACTTATCACATTCTGCTTTTTGGTTATTTATATACTTGTCTCTTAAGCTTGTTAAGAGTACAATCTGCCAAGTGTCATTAAGAAAATACCAGCTTACAACAAGTGAATTAAAAGAAGAAAAATTTTAAATGTTGTAATATCAACTAAGTTCCAATTTTCAAAAACTGTCTTTAATTTTTATTAAAAGTTTTTAATGAGAATTAAAAAATAAACTAATTCCAATACCTGTAATAATGGGGTAACAATAGTGAAATTATGTATAAAAACTGAAGCTACTCATCAGTAAAGAGACAGTAAACAATCAGGATTACTATATAAAATATAAAATAACAGAAGGTATTTCTTTGTGTGCCAGTCCTGGTTTGCACTCAGGACCTGGGTGTTATCTTTTGTTCAAGGCTAGTGCTCTATCACAGTTCTACTTTACGTTTTTTTAGTAGTTTACTGGTGACAAAGAGGCTCATGAACTTTCCTGTCTGGGCTGGCTTTGAATTGCCTCCTGAGAAGCTTGAATGACAGGTGTGAGCCACCAGTGCCTGATGACAGAAGTTATTTAAAAATGACTTCAACAGAATAAATATGATAAACTTCATTTTGATATAAAAAGTGAATTTTCAAGATCTTATAAAACAATTTCAATGGGTATAAAACTAAATATGGAAATTTATTAAATCCACCAAACAGAATATAATAAGCTTATTTTCATTACAGCAGATGGTAAGAAGAGAAGCTACATTGAGAAAATAGTGAACTCAATGGTTAAATATCTAGATAGCATAAAATATGCAAAAAAGTTCTAAGGTCCTCTGCAATATAGAATGCTCATAAAAAGAAAACAACAATAAAAACACAGACAGTATTCTGTAAAGCAAAGATAGCCAAGTTATTCATCTAAGTACTTTACTCTTACTTTTTCAGAATTATCTCAGATGCACCCTTGCTGAATATCCGATAACTTCCATCTGAATTTTTTAGGACAGTACTCATGGACTTCCTAACAGAATTGAAGGTGTAGACTTTGTACAATGCTTCTTCTGGTATTTCATTTCTAACATCCTGATAATCCCGTTTTAAATCCAAAAGAAATCCCAACAAGGCACATTCAGTTTTATTACCAACATGACGAGGCAATCCACCCTCTTTCTCTGGTGGCTGTAAAAGAAAAAGGATTAGAGGCTCACGTCATCTTTACTATGGAAGCTTACAATGTAAAAATATTAACATTCAAAAACAAAGAAGTTATAGAAAACGTCTACTAAAGTATTTAAAAAAGTGGCACAAAAAGGTAGGTGAAAAATTGCATGTGTGCCAATCTCAGACCTGTGATTAACTAGTTATGTAAACAGGTAAATTACCAAATGATTGTTGTCACTGGCTTAAGCATCTGTAAAAGAGGTGCACAAAGGACTACAAAATTAAATGATGGAAGATCAACACAATTTATAATTAGTTCTGATACAAAATGGGTCCCTGATTTCAATTCAATTTTTTTCTTTACTTGTTTTTGCTGAACATTCATATACTGAATATTCAAGATAAAATCTACTAATTTTTACACAAAATAAATTGTGATCTTAACTGTATTAAAAAGCTTTAATTTCTTCATAGTGCTGCCACAAAAATTAAGTCCTTATAAAATCATACTAACAGTATTAAGTAGTTATGATTGTCTTTGTAATTAAAGAAAGGTTAACAGCTCAGAAATTTCAGGTAGTAAAAGGCAAAACGAAATCTAGAACCAGTATCTTATATAGTTCATTCATCTACTTTGTGTATGTTTTCACTAAATAACTGGCAATATTATTTTTGTTCATGATTTTCATATAGATTATTAGAAGTTATAAAACAAAAAAAATTTATGTTCTCTTAGGATTTTTAAAATTGCAAAGTTGAATTTTATCCCAAGGTACATAAGTCTATACTTTCTAAAAAAGGTCTAAGGACAACTTTATAGTTAAGAACAACTTAAGAACCCAACAAAGCACACAGCAAGTATTTGTTAAACATTAATTTAGGGTGAAATCTGGTTTCAATATTTTCTCTAGAAAAATCAGAGTTGACTTTCTATTAGAAGATACCTTGGTCTTTTCTTTAAAAAAAAATGAGCTAATAAGTAATTTAAAATTGAGAATGGAGTGGCTGAGTATACTTCTCAGGTGAACACCTGTCTAGCATGCATGAGTTCAATCCCCAGAACAACAAAAATAAAAGAGAACTAAAACAAAATAAGAACTTATGTTCTGGTTATAAAGCTTACAAGTTTCTAAGCAATAGAATTAAAAATAAAAAAGATGCAAATAAAATGTTTTTATCAAGGGGAACTTACTCATAATAAAATATATCAAAAGAATCTTGTAAATCTTACATAGATGTATATCTTTTTAAAACTAACAGAATTCACTTTAACTTATATATAGCAATAATAGATCTGATTACATACAGCCTAATCTTACAAATCTAGGCATGGCTCAAGCGTTAGAACACCTGCCTAGCAAACATAAGGCCCTGAGCTTCACACCTCAGTGCCACTGAAACAAAATTAATATTCATGTATATAAATTATTTTTTAAAAACCTTACCAATATTTTTGATGTATAAGCACAATTCACAGAAATTCCTGTTACTAGATAGGACAAAATATTTGGTGGAATAGCTTCTGGTTCAGGAACCTTTTTATAATGCTTTTCATTTATATAAGCTTGAACAACTGTCATTCTGTTCATTGTTAATGTTCCTGTTTTATCTGAACAAATAGCTGTAGCATTTCCCATGGTTTCACAAGCATCCAGATGCCTTACTAAGTTATTGTCTTTCATCATTTTCTAGTGGCAAAAGAAAAGTGGAGTTAAGCTACATATAAAACAAATTACCTCATTATATTAAAATGATAAAAATCAGAATTAAACTTTGCTTTATATATAGTGTAAGACGTACAAATTTGATGTTGAAGTTAGCACCTTTGACCTATTCAGATTCTCCATAGATCTCTAAGAAAAAAAAGTAATTTTCATCCTTAGGATAAAAATGGGCTTTTCGGTATCTGATGCTTGCTTTTACTCATTGTCTGGAACTCTACAACCAGAGCCACACCTCCAACCCCCAAAAAACTGGTTCTTTCTTTTTTTAAAAATTGTCTTGATACTTTCATTTATGACTTAAAAAAAATAGGTTTCTTAGAAATCAAGAGTTTCGCAATAGTCCCCAAAAGCATTTAAATTAATTTATAATGAATTCTCAACACCTATGTACAATGGTTTAAAAACTACAGTGAATTGTTCATAAAGCTTCCCCCCACACCCCATGACTAATATTTAAGATCCTTCAAAAGCAAATACACAAAAGGGGAATATGTACTTTGAAAATTACTTGTAACATACATATAAAAATAATAAATTCTTAAGTAAAGGAAACAGGCTGTTTAATTTTTATAAAACACTAACATCCAACTACATAGACTGCAGTAAGAAGAACAGTATTGGTAATATTAGGATTAGGATTAAATAAACATTTAAGAAAAGCTTAAAGCTATGTTCTTATTTAAGGATCACATCAATCAGCCTACATCATTCTGGTCAACTAAAAATTAATATTAACATCTATTCACAATGAACTAATGACAGTATTGGTAAAATGACTGATCAATGGGTTTAAAATCTGTATTTATCTTAAATGTTTCTAATTGTTTTTAAACTATCAAAAATTAGATAGCTTATTTTATCATCATTATATTCATTTTTGATATTTTATGATACATTTTATTTTTGAAATAAAAGTTCTTGGATTCCTTAAAAGAAAATAAACTCAAATACTGGGGGGGAAGGGGGAGGCTGGGAAGGGATGGGAAGGGTAAACAAAGGAGGAGGCTGCAATGCTTGGTAAGAAATGTATGCATTATCCTGCCCATGCAATTGTAACCCCTCTGTACAGTATGTTCACAAATAAAATAAAAAATAAAAAAAACTCAAATACTGTACAAAACATATTCTTATCATGACAGTCTTATTGTAAAATACTTTAGAATACTGAAGATAAAGGTGCTAGGGCAGAAGCTATGACTAATTATATTTTTTCATTGTCAGCACTGTTATTTAAGGAGAAATGCTAACTAACATTTCAAAATTTATGAAAGTAGCATTCAGTTGCTATGTATAATTTTTTTTAACCTGCACAACAATTTTGAAAGAAAGACTGCACTTGGCATTTTTGAATATCAGAAAGGCTAGAGAGGTTGGGCCAAAAGAAGAGTGGAACTGAGGAGCGCTGAGGTAAATAAGCAAGACCAGACTGGGCAAGGCTCTGCTGGCCATGGAAGGAAGTTAACAGAGATTTACACAGGAAATCATATAATCTGAATTATTTTTTGGAAATGTGATTTGGCACACATATACGAAAAACAGATTGTGGGGCAATTGTGGGAATGTCAGGAGACGTCAGAAGGTTGGACCCAAGTCAAATCTCTTCGCTCTTATACTGTAAGTTAAAAGGTAAACACTCTTATCATACTTTTACAGGTGAAAAGGAGGAGGTGACAAGACTTGGAACTATAACTATCAAATAATGGAAATCAGGCTAGATTACTGCCTAGCAATGTTGTGTTTGTCATTGTCAAGGCTATGCTCTCCAAAGGAACAAGTCTCTATACACCAAAATGTTTAACCGAGAGTAAGTAGGAACAGGGAACCAATGATTGTGTTTCTGAAGAGTGTACAATTTTAGAAGCCTATTTTCAAAAGTGGAAAAGGAGTAACTGGATGTATATTTTAAATACAAACTGAGGTTTTAAACATACGACATACTAGAGCTATTTAACTATTTCTTACTAACCTTCACTGAGTAAGCCAGTGAGATAGTAACTGCCAGTGGAAGACCTTCTGGCACTGCAACCACTAACACTGTAACTCCAATAATGAAGAACTTCACAAAATATTGTATATAGATTGGTGTACACTCAGCAAGCCATGGTCTCTTCTGAACCCAGAAGGTATCGATGACAAAATATAATACTAGAATGATAACTGTGATGGCAGACATCAACAGACCTTTCAGGATAGAAAAAAGGAAAAAGCAATTATTTCAATATTCTAAACCCTATTCGTTGTCAGTTAACAATATTACACTGTAAAGAATTTTATAACTAGCTTTCTTGGAGAAGCCCTTTTCTCCTTTTTGTACTAACTAATCACTGGATACTGCTAGACTTAACTTTTGCTTCCAGATACAGCTCTGACTCAGGACAACTAGAAGAAAGGCATTTATCATTCTTAATTTTATCTTCTGCCTTCTATCAAGAATAAAACAATAGATAATAAGAGAGAATACTAAAACCTTAGCATAATATGTTACTTTACATGCTCAACACGGAACTTGTCTGACTCTGAAAGAGAATCCAGTAAAAACTGGATCAACTGAGAGGCTTGAAATTAAATATTCAACTCTACATGTAAAACAGATACAATATACACAAAAAATTATACTATCTGAATTATTTCTTAGTTTATTTTTGTACTATCCTTACTGCTTCATTAACTTAGGAAAACAAATGTTATCTATGCATTAAAAAACACTTAACTACATCATGAAGTATTTAGCATCTTAAAAATATACATTAAAAAAATAAAGCAAGTCTATATAGCTGGGACTTACAAAGCAAATCCAATGACTACTAATGCCATCACCAGAAGTCCACTGTTTCCTTCAATACTAGAAGAGTGACTACTACAATTTAGTTACATAACATAAAAGCAAAATAATGGGGTTTTAAAGAATAAGCTTATTGAGGATAGAAGCAAAACCTTCACTTTTCCAAAATATTCCTGGAAATAGCAGAATGATACAATTTAAGTAATGCATACTGATTTATCCACACAGTGTTGTTTTGAAATGGTAATAATGCTAGGGGCATCCTCTGCTTTTTATGTATAAGCCCTAATTTTTCTTCTAAAGAATGGTTCTATGAGCAGGTGTTTTCTAGCAAAGTCAGTGATTTGTAACTTCAGCCTCACAGGTCTTTTCAAACAAACTATATTTAGAAAAATACATTTTTTTCCCATAGATAGCCAGTAACATAACGAGCAATATGTGTGGTGGGTAATCTGTAATGAGTTAACTTTATAGCAAGCCCTCTCTTTTTACTGCCCACAGAAATTCAGAAAAATTTAGAGATCCATACATAGGTTTGTAAATTGGGCATATTCAGGCACTGATTCTGACTGCTTATTAACTAGCTAACTAGTTGATAATGGCCCCTAAGCTGCCATATTATGGATATCTAAAAGACTCACTGTGAATAAAAACAAGAAAATATTTCTAACTTTGTTTATGTTAAAATAAATTTTAACTCTGCCAATAGACATTTTTAGAGCAAAAAATGCACATATTTTTTGAAAAAAAAACTACCTTACTTTCCTCTACATATCATACCTGCTTTGCCGATCTGAACAGCTAGTTTTGTAAGTTTTCCTTGTAAAACAGATTTTTCCTTTTTTGGCAAATTTGCTTTCTTTTTGTCTTTTTCGTCACCATCTCCACCTTCTTCACTCTTTAAAGGCTGCATTTCCATGGCTGCACCATCCTGTGCTTTTGCTACATTTAAGACCAAATATAATTTTACTGCATTTTAAAGGCACTATTCATTATTAACAATTAAAAAAATCAATTTTTCTTTTTTTTTCAGAGGAAACCTCAAGTCTTTATTTACAGTGACTCACTCTTGATTTGAACAAATGCTAATAATTTTGGTTGTTTCTTAGTCTGGCTCCAATACATCAGAAAAGAATGAATGAGTAAGGACCAGGCTTAAGTGAAAGGTTAACTAAGGGATGAAACTGATAGCTTAGACTTAACAACAACAATAACAAAAAGAGCCACGACACTTAGTGTGTTGCTGGTCAAGAAGAAAAACACAATAACTTTGCATATGGAAAAGTAAAACTACATATATTCTATCCAAGAAACAGGAATGTATTCAACAGATTTTGGAAGATTTCTTGAGACAACTTAAAAAAAATCAATTTCTTATAGAAAATAGAAAAAAATCTCAGCATCCACTCTTCCTCTATCCCACCCATAAGCTGTGTATGTTTACACAGAGGGAAAAAAACAATAGTGACATTAGCCTGTGAAACTGTACCAGCTGTGAGGATGTCAATTAGGTAATGGTGATAAAAACATAAGATCCTTAAACTGAGAACTCAGGAACTCTAATTTCTTTCCCTCTATGTTATATTAGGTAAAACCCAAAGCCTATAAATTCCTATCATTTAATTTATGACTATACTGTATAGAATTATGTATCTGTCTGGAGAAATTTGCATATATTTAAATAATTAAATGCAAATAATATTTATACCTTAAACTTTCATATGCACTTTTGTTACCAACTATGTAGTAGATAACATTTAAAGTATGTTACAATATTTGAAATGCTGAAGTGAAAGCTACCTATGACAGCTAAACAATATCAACAAACCATAATTAAAATATTCTCAATATTGTACAGATATAGCATGACTAAGGTCCTGGAAAGAAAGGTTAATTCGAGTTTGTAACATTGTTGATGTTCTCTGCCATGTGTATCCTAATTTTGGACAGATACAGTACATAATAGGTCTATTTCTGGACATAATGAAAACAATGTACTACACTTTTATTGTCCTGAATTTACCTTTGTTGCGATTCTCAATGGCTCCATCCTGCTTCTTATCTGTAGGAACAAAATGGGAATTAAAGCTTTCCAAAAGAAATGAATACAGCCATGCTAAATTATGCAAAGGAGGCTCACATTTCTATAAGAGAATTGTTGAATAATGGCTATACATCTCTGTACGTGTGTGTGTGTGTGTGTGTGTGTGTGTGTGTGTGTGTGTTATGATGTGTATCAATAGACCAGAAAACATTTGGCTTTTAATGAATTGCTATGTTAACAACTCCCTAAATCCTACTGTGGGAGAATACTCTAAAATAACTTAATGCATCTATACTTGACTTTTCCACTAAGATTTTAACTCTTTTACAAATTGCAGAAAATCCAAATATGGTATAAGAAAATAAAAACTTCAAACTAACTACAGACATACCATAATAAAGGAGAAAAGGACAGAGAGAAAGACAGGAGGGGAATGTTAATAAAAATTTAACAGGAATATAGAAGAACTTTGGTGGGGGTGAGAACAAAGAGCATATACAAGACAGGAGAGTCAAGTTACACAAAACAGAATACAAATGTATCAAAGAAGCCAGCCAATGTAATTCCCCAAACTAGCTTAGAACACAGCAAGGTAAGATGTCTGAAGCCATAATCAAGGAAGTAGAGTGCTGACTGGAGTAGGAAATATATTAAATATGATAGAAGAAGCAGGATAATTCAGCTTAGTTTTTTCTACCAATCTCTAATCAAAGAGGACCATCTTCAAACTGGAAAACATGGAACAAGAAGAGTCAGGAAGGAACAGAAGCTCTGGACAGATGAAGAGATAGTAAGAGAATACTTAGCTACTTTCAATGAGCTCAAATTTGGAGACTAGTAGCATTCCAGGCTACTGAAGGAATGGAGACAGATTACCCTGGACTGAATTTAAGTAATTGCCAAAGTAATCAAGAGGATGAGTCTCTAAGTATACAGAAAGAAAAATATCAATCTATCTTACAAGAAAAAAAAAGGAGAAACAAAACTAGGTAAGTAAACAAAAAGAAAAACAATGATTAGATGTTAATTCCTCCAAATATTCATATTCTGGACTGGATGAACAAAAAGTTATATAAGACCTTATGGGGGGAAAAGGTGCTTACTGGAAAATGCTGGTGTCAATAAGAATAATATTATGATAAAAACTTCTTTTTTAGCCAGTCATGGTGCCTGAACTCTGGGCCTGGGTGCTGTCCCTCAGCTCTTCAGCTCAAAGCTAGTGCTCTCTACCACTTGAGTCACAGCACCACTTCCAGCTTTTTCTGCTTATGTGGTGGTGAGGAATAGAATCCAGGGCCTCATGTATGCAAAGCAAGCACTCTACTACTGAGCTACCTTCCCAGCCCCAAAGCTTCGTCTTTTTAATAGGGTCCAATGGCTTCTGATTTCTGAATATTAGGACAGAGCAGAGTCAGGAGGGTTTGATCTTCCACCTATTCACATTCTAACTCTACAAGTTTGTTCAAAGAAAATAGCCTTTACCTCATTGCTGTTAAGAACATTCACTGAGATGGAACCAGTAAAGCCCTCAATCATTATCATTATTACTGGTTTTCAAACTACACTCCCATCAGCCTTAAGGAACACATTTAGGCCTGTCTGGTCAACAGCCAAAGGAGAAACCTAAATAATGTGGGCTTGCCACCACCACTTGTAGCCAAAATGGCTAGTGTCTTTTCCTGAACTAGAAAATAAACCCAGAACTTTGTATATACCAGGCAAGTGCTTTACCACTGAGCTATACCTTCAATTCCAAGAGCTTTCCAAATATTTTTTTTTGTTTAAAATAATTTTATAGCTAAAGATAAAATGCAAAGAAAACATAATCAAACCAAATATTAATAACTGCTGCAGAGCTGGAGGTGTAGCTCAGTGACAGAGCATTTGCCTAGCATGTATGAAGATCTAGCATCGATCCATAGTACCACAATACTACACACATCTCAAAAGCAAAGGAAACAAACCAAACCAAAAGAAAATAAAAATTACAGAAGAAAAAAAAACTCGACTGTGGTATCTCCCCCAACCAAAAGACTACCGTTAATTCCTTGTGTGTGGCACAGTTTATTATAGGACAAACATAAAGCATAAAAGTGAAGTCACAGACTAACTATGCAAGTACAGAATGGTAGAAAACTTGAAAAAGATAAAAAACTCAGAGACCAAACTAACATAGCTGATAAAAACAGTTAATACTGAATAGCAAGGGAAAACAAAATAAACAAAAGCTATGGTATAAAGACAATAAAGCCAAATCAAAACATTTAGGAGGTAGTCAATCAGTCTCAAGCTATGTAAAAGGAGATTGGTGTATTTGCCAAAGGCCTTTAATGGACTACTAAAAGAATAATTTTCTTTCCTTTAATATTACTACTTGAAAGAGTAACACTTGGTAATTAATATTTTGTGGATTTTTTTTTTGGGGGGGTCCGGTCGTGGGGTCTAAACTCTGGGCCTGGGCATTGTCCCTCAGCTCTTGAGCTCAAGGCTAGCACTCTACCACTTGAGCCACAGCGCCACTTCCGGCTTTTTTCTTTTTGCTTATGTGGTGCTGAGGAATCGAACCCAGGGCCTCATGCATGCAAGGCAAGCTCTCTACCACTGAGCCACCTTCCCCAGCCACTGTGGAATTTTTCACACCAGATTCTCATGTACATTTTAAGATATACTTGCTCTACTTCAAATGTCAAATTGATAGTCTTACTTTTCTTTTCTTTTTTCTTCTCATCTTTCTTCTCTTCTTCTTCACCTCCAGCTCCAAGTAAGGTAAAGATAATTCCAGTTTGAGAATTCACACCTACAGCTGTAACTACCATTCTTCCAGAGCCTTCCATTACATGAGTACCTACAACAGAGAACTTTTTCAGAAAGTTTTTAATATCCTCAAAACAAGATGTTAAATCCTAAATTCTTTTATGATATTAGAATGTTAGCAGTACAAAACAACTTCATTGTGATAAATTCATATATATTCAGTGTACTTTGAAAAAGCTCATTCACCCTCATTATATTCCCTCCCCCCTTCCCCCTTGTCAGAGACTGGTGGGTTTCATTATGCTATCTTCATATTATGAAATCTACTTCAATACTCTCCACTCTCAGTACCCTTTCCTTTTCCTTCCCCCTTTTACTAATCTCCCCTCCCCCAATCTCCCTTCTACAATCAATCCTATATCTCAATTCCTCTTATGTAAAAGAGGAATACAAATTACTTGTACTTCAAGATGTAGAAAGATAGGCATTCCTCAAACAAGCCCATAAATATAAAGTACTTAGCATACTGCTTGAAATTTGTGACTTCTGAAAATGCTTATTAAGTAATAAAATGGGATGTATATTTCTCTGAGAAATGTGCTTATAATCCAATACATTCAGCAGCATAAATGTCCTATTTTCCACACCCAACTCAAATGCACAACTTCTGTCTAACCTAAGCTTTTATTCCTACCAGCCTAGATTATTGCAATAGCTTTTGAATTATTCTCTCTTCCTTTAAAATGTAATAGTTTAAATGTTCTAAAATGTGATTTTATTATATACCCATCATGATTCAAAAACTCCTGATTTTATATTGGCGTACTGGGTTAAGTCCAATATCTTCACTTGAGACCAACCAACCTTTTAAACTTTCTCATCGACTACTCTTAAGATGAACTTTCATTGCCTAAAGCCATGTAGCAGAGATAGGGACATGACCTGAATTCAGACTGCCCCTCAGACAATCTTGAAGTTGGCAGACATTACTGCTCTTATTTTCTACCAACTTGTACATGTGTATTTTTGCATCTTTCCCCATGTTTCCTCATTATTAGGTTTTCACTCCTTTATTCCAATCTTTTGTGACTTTTAAGCAGGCTTAGAAATTTAGCTTTCTCTTTTAAGATTTGGTAAAGTCCTTTTGGTCATCGTTCATCTGCATCTGGTTTTAGTTCACAACCTTCTGGAGGGAAGTACTTATAATACTTACCATCTTACATACCAAACTAATGCTCAAGGATTATCGGCGAAATATAATTATAAAACTAATGCACTTACTTTGGTATTTTAAGGATTTATATTTGACAATAAACTGCTGAATACTTTATCCAACATAAATTTATTTCTTTAATTGTCTTGCTTTAAAAATTTATGTTCTGAGCTGGAAGTCAGTGGTTCACACCTTTACTCCTAGCTACTTGTGAAGCTGAAATATGAGAATCATGGTTCAAAGCCAGACTGGGCATAAAAGTCCATGAGATTCTTATCTCCAATTAACCACCAAAAAGCCAGAAGTAGAGCTGTGGCTATAGTGGCAGAATGCTAGCCCTGAGCAAAAAAGCTCAGGGACAGTATCAGGCTCTGAGTTCAAGCCCCAGCACTGGCACAACACAGAAAAATTCTGGCTTTATGTTGATCTGAATTTTTATGTTCTGTTCTTTCTTACCACAATCTGATAAGATGTTGGCAGTTAATGTGGTCAGCAAGAAAAACAGTTTCTAGTCAGGTCATATCCTTACTACTAGTGGAAATGCCACTTTTAAAAATCTAAATTTAAGAAGCCAAGAACAGCAGACCAAGATGGCATTGTGAGAGTAAATTTAAAAATAAATGCATGTTGTGTTTTTCAGTACATTTTTGGAATAGAGAAATAGATGAAGAAAAACTTTCCCACCCGTACTGTGATAGGGGACTCTATAAAATTATTTTAGTCTTTTCTTAAATATGGAAAATTTAGAGAGTTCTCTTGGTATACTTGGTGTGCTAGGAACCATAGTCAACATAAAGCTTACTAGTTATCACTGTTAAAACAGAAAAGGACCAAAGTTCAGTTAAAGGAAATCAACTTGAACAGCTAAGCACTATGTAAATACCCTAGATGTACATAAAAGTCCATTAAGTATATATAAAGCAAAAGGCAAAAGAAAATTATCTCAGTTTGCCAAACATTATGGCAAAGTGAGTCTGTGGTAGGAAGGTATGACTATATATTTTCCCTCCTATTAGGAAATAATATAGTTTATTTCATTAACATGAAAAAATGAATATGTATTAATTCGGTACAATACCTTATATATCCATGGAATTTCTGCCCAATGTGTGATATGAACAAAAAGCACATCAATACAAAGAGAAACTCAAATAAAGGATGTGTATTCTAAATGGCCAGATATTTGTATATATTTGTATATTTATATATACAAAACTTAAGATTTTTTGGACAAATGTCTATAATTAGGTGTTTTCTTTACTTATAAATGATGTTCATAAAGGTACACATAAATAATTAACTTGTATTTCTCATAAGATTTTACAGCATATATACATTTAATTACTATGACATTTGTAGTATCTTATCAGACATATGCAAAACTTAAAAGAGTAATGGTTAAAATGATACCTTCTGTTCTGAAATTATGATTAACTTAACTGATACTAGTGATTATCACAAGCTTGAGTTCAGTCTCATTAAAATCACATCTGACCAATTAAGATATAAAGCTCATACAGGATGAAAGATTGCACATGCCCAGTTATTTAATAATTAAATCAGTAGGGATTTTCTGACAATGTATACAATGTGAGAATTTCATCAACAACTGGTAGTGGTAACAGGAAACATGTAATGTTTTGGCTTCTTCCAAACTTTAGTAAAAATTCAGTGTAACAAATGCAGTTCTGACAATTTCACAAATTCTACAAAGTATACCAGAAAATTAAGAGTATGAACCTTAGAAATTCTAAGGTAAAGAATTAACATGTTTTGGGGATCAACTTGTGGTGCTTTGGCTCCTTCTCATTATGCATCTTAGAGGGAAGCTGTAAGTTTTTGCACTTTCCTTTCGACTTCATTTCCAACTAGCCCGAGTTTAAATTATCACACTTAAACTTTGACAAATATCTTAACAATTTCTTCCTTATTTTTTAATGTTTGTTTATTATTACTTTTTGTGGTACTGGGTTTCAACTCACAGCCTTTTGTTGACTAGGGAAGTGCTCTGTACCCCTTAACGCCCCTCCCCCACCTTTTATTTTTGCCAGTCCTGAGGCTGAACTCAGGGTCTGGGCACTGTCCCCAAGCTTCTTTTGCCCAAGGTTAGCACTACCAATTGAGCCACAGTGCTACTTCCAGCCTTTTCTGTTTATGTGGTACTGAGGAATCAAACCCAAGGCTTTTTCATGCATGCTAAGAAAGTACTCTACCACTAAGCCACATTCCCCAGCCCTCCCTCTACCCCCATAACTCTTTTTATTTTTTAGGTAGGTTCTTGTCTGTGCCCAAGAGTAGGCTTTTGACTAAAATCCCTGGATCTATGATACATACATAAGTGGAATCACAGATGTGAGTCACCATGCTTACCTCACTAGTTTAGATGAGAGAGAGGTGTTTCTAACAAGCTTTTTTTCCCTGGCTAGTCTGAATAGCCATCCTCCTGATAGATCTCTATCTCCAAAATACCTGGGATTGCAGTCAAGAGCCACTGTATCAAGCCTACACCTCCTTTTTAAACAGTACTCTCACATAAACTCTTCTTCATCCTTCAAACATGTCTTAAGCATGTACAAATCCATTTCTGACTAGTCTATATGTGAATGTTGCTCTTATACCTAATTCTGGTTAGTCATATATTCTTAAACAGTTTATGTCTCAAACTCATTCTTCAGCAGTTAAATAAAAGATCTAGATTATGTGAATATTGAGGGTTTTTTAAATAATTTATTAAAAAAAACAAAATATTGTCCTTTGTATACCATCATATTTATTTGCTTTAATCCTATAATCAATCATCCTTTTATACTTCAACAGTCCTTAAGTATGAACATAAACCCTTCTGCTTCAAAAAAACAAAAACACAATAATTCAACAGGCATCATTAAGTTTAGATTCCTGTTCTAGATTCAATATTATCTCTGTTGTCTTATAAGAAAGGTCTCTAATGATTATAAGAGCAAAATATAAGCAAATATTGATTGTGTCATATTTTGCCTCTTATGGAAGGAAACTTGTATTGGTCGACAATGGGTATAGCTGTGCTGGAGGAAATAGTTCAAAGTTTAAAAAATGAATTCATACCTGATAAAAGTAAGGGATCCTTATCTAAAGATTTCTTAACATGATCAGATTCACCAGTCAACGAGCTTTCATCAATTTTGAGATCATTACCCTGAATAAGTATACCATCAGCTGGAAGAAGATCACCTACAACAAAAAAGCAGTGTTATGGATAAACTGTAAAGGAGATTATAACAGTTTTCCATTTAGTTAGATATGTTGCTTTGCTTTACTTACCATATTTCACTTGAGCAATATCCCCAACAGTAATGTCAGCTACAGGTATCTGAATGACCTGACCACCCCTGATGACGGTGAACTTTTGTTCCTGTTCAATTCGACTCTGCAAACCCCTGAACTGTTTCTCCTTACTCCAGTCATTGAAAGCAGTCACTAATACCACACACACCACTGACAAGAGGATTGCAGCTCCTTCAATCCAGCCGGTTTCACCTTCACCTTCTTCCTCCCCAACAGAAACTTCTCCACAAACTATTTGGAAAGAAAGAAAATGCTTATCAAAACATTTTGTATTATTGATAACGTAAGCCACACTGTATTTTTGTTTAATCTTTTTTTGTACTGTATCAATTCTGTGTTTATTTCTTTTATCAATTTTGTGTTTAGAATAAACTCTTGAACTCAAATATTCTGTAAGGATAACATCTTACTGTCAATTTCAAACCTAAAGGCATGTTACAGAATGCTTCAAAACACTTCATGTTACACTCCAGACCACTAAAAATGTACATCACAATAAAGTGAGTCACACAATTTTTTTCAGAAACTAAAATACCGAATGTTTTTAAGTAGACAACTTAATTCTTAATATTAAGCATGTAATGGTGTTATATACACCTTAATTTAAAATATTTCATTGCTAAAAATGCTAATGATCATCTTAATCATCACCAAATGATAATTTTTATTCTGGTAGGGGGTCTCAACATGATTATTAATGGTGACTGAATAATTATAGTAGTTGCTGAAGAATGAAGCAGTAAGAACATTCCTTTTTGCAGATTTTTCTATAGCATTTGATGCTTGATAACCTTCAATCTATAGAACCTTTTTCAAAGCTTCAGTCAATTCTCTCAAACTTTACTGCTATTTTATTAACTAAGTTTATGTAGCATTCTAAATCATTTTAACAATGTTCAGAGGATCTTCACCAATAGATTCCAAATCCTAAGAACCACTCTCCATCTCAATTGAGTTTTGCTCCGAGATTGCATCAATTCAGTTACAGGTCCAGGTTACACGTTTAGTTATCTTTGTGGTTCTATCACATTTACAATTACTTCCTCCACTGAAGTTCTGAGCCTCTCAAAGTCATCCATAAGAATGGGAATCAACTGCTAAACTCTTGTTAATGATGGTTATATTTTTTACTTCCTTCCAGAATCACAAATGTTCTTAATGGCATCTATACTGATAAGTTCTTTCCTGTAGTTTTCAATTTACTTTGCCCAAACCCATAAAAAAGAATCTCTACTTGTGGTATTAGAAGGCTTATGAAATGTATTACTTAAAATAATAGAACTGCAGTCATGGGTTGCAAACCAATGTTGTGCTAACAGACATGAAGATGTTTGCGTACATCTCCATTACAGCCCTTCAGTAACCAAGTGAACTGTCAATGAGCAGTAATATTTTGAAGACTTCTACCCACCCAGGGTGGTCTCAACAGTAGGCTTAAAATTCTCAGAAAACCATGTTGTAAGCAGACGTGATACTTTCTAAGGTTTGTTGTTCTGTTTACAAATCACTGGCAGAGTAGATTTTGTATAAATCTGAAGATTTCTGTATGGCAAAAGGATTGTTGGCTTCATAATAGCTGTATTAGCCCTTAATGAGAACAGGCCTGTCCTTTGAAGCTAGGAACTGACTTCTCCTTTCTAGTTATGAAAGTCATAGATGGCATTTTCTCTTAAAATAAGCATGTTTCATCTGCCTTGAAAAATGTGTTGTTTCATGTAGCCACCTTCATCAATTATTTTAGGTGGGTCTTCTGGATAGCTTGCTGTTTCACCTTGTACTTTCACTTTATTTCACATGATTCTTTTCCTTCAAATTTCTTTTGCTGCTTCCTTACTTTTCCTAGCCTTCACTAAAGTGAAGGAAGTTTATGCCTTCCTCTAGCTTAGACGTTGGTTTACAGTAATGATGTGGCTGCTTTGATACTCTATCCAGATCACTAAAACCTTGTCTGTATGAGCACTAAGACTCTTCACTTGGTTATTGTGTTTTAAAATTTCCCTCAAAACAACTTTTCCTTTGCACTCATAACTGTTTGGCACAAAAGACCTAGCTTTCAGCCTTCTTTGGTCTTACCATGTCTTCTTTATTAAGCTTAATAATTTCTAAAAACATGTCTGAAAGACATTTAGGAACCTTCTACTTGGACATTTAGGAGCCACTTTAAGACAATAATTAGTCTAAATTCAGCATGATTATCTCAGGAAATAGAGAGGCTAGAAGACAAAAGAGCACACCCAACATTTTTTTTCAGCTACATTCACTATTGTATATGGGTCTGGTAGAAAAGATCATTGATAACAGATCACCTTAACAGGTTTTTACAAAAATTACCGAAGTATGACAGATGCAAATGAGCCCATGTAGAAAAATGATGCCAACTGACTTGCTCAACACAGGGTTGCCACAAACTTTTAATTCATTTTGTTTAAAAAAAAAGCAATATCCATGAAGCACAATGAAGTCAAGTACAATAAGACAAAGTGTTTGTGCTTTTCTTAATCTGCTAAATTAGGCATCGGTTACACCTAAAAGTAGTTGACGCTTTTAATGATATATTTGATGGGCAAAATATGTATGAAAATTGAAGTATTATGCACCACTCATAACTCACAATTATGCCACTTTTACTACACTGCCATAAAAAAAGGCCTGGCTTCTATAATGTGAAGTCAAGAAAAATGCTACTTGTGGCTTCACCTGTATGTGGGCCTACTAGGTAGCAGACACTATTTTAGGAGTACAATATGTTAGCAATTTATATCCACTCTTTCCTCAAAGAACTCACATTCACATTACTTTAATAGTGGGAGTGATATAGAAATCATATAATGAAACATAAATAATTAACTTCAGGTATCTTCAAGTCCACACAAAAAATAATAATGCATTTAGGTTGAAGGAATCAAGAAGCCCCTCTGAGGTATCTACAGCATTTGGACTAGGAGCCAAATGTTAATAGGGAAACAACCACATAGATCTAAGGCAAAAGAATTCCAGGGAGAGATTAAAGTTAGTACAAGTGCTATATGGGAAAAAAAGGGGAGGGGGACCAGAAAGGAAGAGATGGGGAATGACCTCTCAAAAACCCCAAACACTCAAATACTGTAGGGTCAGTACAGTAAAATGGAATGGTGTTTTTTTGGACTTTGGGCTGAAATCTACTTTTGAGTCTAAAATCAATTCAGGGGCCCATGACAAACTTGTTAAAGAAAATGAAACAGACTAAAATAGAGTAAAATATAAAAGGATATACATGTAGGAAGTAAAGTATTGTTCCTTGAGGCTTTACTTTTGTTATTTATAAATTCACGGAAAGGGATATACTTTTCTGGATTGCTAGGTAAAATGATTTCTTCCTGAAATGTCTTAAAAGTCACTGGCTGGACATAAACCACAAGAAAAATGATACAGGAAAATATGTGCACAAAAGGCATTTAGAATGATTAAAGCATGTTCTAGAACTCTCCAGAATGTGAGAATGCTTATTAGAGATTTTTCTTGGGAGAGTGTGTGGGACAGGTTAATAACAGAATACAGAATTAAGAGTAAGACTCGTTAGGAAAGAAGTTAGAAAAGATGAAGTAAATGATTACACACACAAAAACAATGTGGAGAAACATTAGAATGCAGCCATCAATGAGTATAGAGCATTTTTCTAAGGTGAGGTAGAAACAGAATGAATCACTGTGATGTTGTTTCTTGCCCCCCCATTCAAATACTGGAAGTTGTGTTTTAATTATTTTCAAGCTGAAAAATGAAATAACTAGTTGAATGAACTTTTAGTTTACATTCTTTTAAATACTAGTTGTTAATACAACCTCCCTCCCTACCCAGAAGATAGACTAATTTTCTTAATTAGAGCAAGCCTGGATTTGAGATGAAGTTTTAAACACCACATTAAAAACTTTAAACAATCTGGAAACAGCTAAAATATTATCCAAATGAAGCACTTAAGTAGGTTTTATATTATTTATTAAAAACATAAAAATGTAATAATTTATAATATAGTGTGCATGAACAACAGACTGACATTAGAAGATGGAATTCATCAGTTACATGTCAACAAAAATTTTGTGCAATTGATAGATGGGACAAAGAATTGATTTAGTTGAGTAAACTTCCATTTGAATTTATATAACGTGTTCTTCTCAGCTATGAAAAACAATAAAACCGGGTTAAAAAATAAATTTTAGACCTAAATTAGGTTAATATTCCTGTTTCGCAGCTATATTAAATAATGAAAAATTCAAACAGTCATCTTTATTTTCCATTTTGAATATTTTTGAAACAAATTGACAATACATTTCATTTCATATACATTTGTAATCCATATTATACAGATGAGATTAAAACCATCTTTAAACACATGGTAGCAAAATATTCTAGTAACGAAATTCTTTTCCTACTGATGACCACAACAAATTATTTAAAGGAATTGTAGGGAAAAAGACCCAGACCATACTTATAAAAGGACTACAGTTTATAGCTATGTAATTTTTGTTTTGTTTTTATTGTTTTGGTAGTACTAGAGTTTGAACAATGGGTCTTGTGCTTGCTAGGTAAGTACTGCAGTACTTGAACCATGCCCCAAGCCAATTAGTTAACAATACTAAAGGGGAGGGGGGAGTTATTGTTTTCTCTCAAGTGGAAAGACAATAATAAAAATCTATTTTACCAAAAAGGTTCCCTTGAAAATATCTTCAACTGAGAGATATACAATCTAAGTTTCCCTTAAATTCCTCTGTCAGAAAGACAATCTTTCATTAAAAAAAATAATAAAACCCCAAAACTCTTAGCTATTTCTTGGATGGTATACCAGGTATATGCATTAACAGCATACAGAAGCCATTTGTAGAGTGCTGTTCAGGAAATTATGTAACAAAATTGTTCAAATTTCACATTACATTGGATGTACTGAATCAAGATGTGGAGATTAGGAGTCTGTGGTTCAAGGCTAGCCCAGGCACAAGTTTGTGGGACTCAATCTCAACCAATGGCAGAGTACAATGTTATGTGCCTGTCACACTCAGCTCTGTAGGAAAGCACAGATGCGGGACAGAGATTCAAGCCAGCTAGGCATAAAGCCAGACCCTATCTCAAAAAATAACTTATGGAAAAAAACAACTGGTGGAGTGGTTGAATGCCTGCCTAGCTATTGCAAGGCTTTGAGTTCAATTCTCAGTACTGGAAAAAAAAGTAGAAATGATTATTATTTACCATGATGCCAAAGTATCTTTTCATGAACAGTGTTAATTAAAGGATCTTTTAAAAGGGTCTATGACAGATGTAGATTATCTTCTCAGTTGGGCCTAATACCATAATCTCTAACAAATTCGGAAAAATTTTGGTCACTCTGTAAATAAAGTAGTTTGGGTTCCAGAAAGATTTGTCCTAGACATTGTTGGTAGAGTCCATTCTAGTGATTCTAGTGAAATTGTTTTCTTTCTCTATCTGTGGTACTTGGGTTTGGCTTTGGGATTTCTACTTGTTGGCAGGCTCTCTACCACATGAGAGCTTAAGTTATATTTTTGGATAAGTTCTCACATTTTGGTTTAGATTGGTCTGGAACCATGATTCTTTAGATCACTGCTTCTTGAGTAGCTGCAATTATACAAGGAACCACTGAATTCTTCTTAGTTTTCTTTACTTTTCTTATAGCTTTAGCAGGAAAAGTGCTAAAAGTAAAATTTTTAATAATCTACTAACTCAGTGAACTCTAGAACATCAATTCCTAATATCTATAGTAAAAGCTGGATAAATGGAAAACTGGCTAAACCAACTAGGCATCTCTTTTCAGACCAACACACATATCTATATTTCTTGCCACACACCCACACCTCTACCAGGTAAGCACACTTTCACATAGGTAACCAAACAGCCCAAACAACAAACATACTTTTAAAATTTGGAAAGATTGGAAAGATACATTAAAAATCATATAGCAGTAATCTCTAGAAAGAATTTTTTAAAGAATGTTACTACTTCCTTTAGATAGCCTTTTCCCACCTTACCTTTTTATACAGCAAAATATTACTATGTATTTAAGAAAAACACAAAAAATTGCCTACTAATACTGGTAAGATCATTGCCTAAATACCTTTCTATTTACATCAGTGATACTCAACCAGAGGCAATTTTACCCCCATGAAAAGACATGACAAACTTTAAAGTATTTGTTGCCTCACCTGGGGTAAAGGTACAAAAACATAGCAACAAAACTATTCTGGCTCAACATTTCAACAGTGCTGCTGCTCCTAGAAACCTGGTTTTATATTGATCTCAGATAAACTGGCTTATTCTTTGACTAGCTTCCTTAAAAAAAAAAAGTAAAGTCTTTTACAACACCCTTAGGCACAATTCCCTTGAAGGTATTACTTTGTATTACAACTTAAGCAACTTTTAGAGTTAATGAAGATTTGATTCTTCACAGCTTAAAAGGGATCAGAATGCAACTTTTACATGCAAAAAGTACTGTGCTGAACTCTCTTTTGATCTATAAAATACTACTGTATGACTTTATCATTAGTTGAGTACAGTAACCAAAACGAAGCTAGAATTACTAACAATTATAGGACATACTAACAATAATATTCAAGTAATTTTAAAGAGATAAATGAAAGGTAATGAACAAAACAAAGCCTTTTGTGGCCACAAGTTAAAGCAGATTTATTTACATTATAATGCATTTCTTCATTGGTTAGGATACTTTTAAAGTTACTAAGATTCCCTTCTCAACAAATAACCAAGGAGTGGTGGAGTGTTTATGAAATCCCAGCTATGTGGGAGTGCAATTAGGAGTTATAGGCATAGAAGTATAAGACCCTACTATATATATATACATATACACATATATATGCGCATATATATGCATATATGCACACCTAAAGCAAATAAATAAGGGCTGAGGGCCTGACTCAAGCAATAGAGTATTATCTAGCAAGTATAAGACGTTGAATTGAAAGCCCAGCACTACAAAAGAAAAGAATATCCAAATGCTCAAAAATCTGAAACTTTTTTTTTTTTGTTAGCCAGGGCACTGTCCCTGAACTCTTCAGCTCAAGGCTAGCAGTCTATCACTTGAGCCACAGCATCACTTCTGGTTTTCTGGTAGCTAAATGGAGATAAGAGTTGCATGATGTTCCTGTCTGGACTGGCTTTGAACTGCGATCCTCAGATCTCTGGCTCTGAGTAGCTAGAATTATAGGCATGAGCCACTGGTGCCTGGCGATCTAGAGCTTTTTGAGAACATGATGTCATAGTGTAAAATTCCATACCATGCAACTTTGTTTCATGCATAAAATTATTTAAAATATTAAATAGTGATAGCATAGATCATGTCATATATGTGTAGTGTTCATGTGTAACAAGTAGGTCATATATGCAGACTATGTGACATATACAACACATAGTGTATATGGCACATTGTTAAACTTCTGTGTTTATTATAAAATTCAAGTAACATTTTCTTTTTTCCTTTTTCTTGTTGGTCATGGGGCTTGAACTCTGGGCCTGGGTGCTGTGGTTTATTGGAGATAAGAGTCTCACAGACTTTCTTTCCTGGGCTGGCTTTGAACTGCAATCCTCAGGTAGCCTCCTGAGTAGCTAGGATTACAGGCATGAGCCACCGGTGCCTGGCTCCAGTAACATTTACTAATGCAATTTTGAAAATTATTTCAGGTAATATACTGAGAGCACTCAGAACTGTGCCTAGCAAATCACAGTCAGTACTGAAAATTTGGCTTATGTAGTAAGCAAATGAATATGCTGAAATAGCATCACATAACTGCCTTTTATCCCCCCTATTTACTTACGTGCATTATCCCCTTCTGGAGGTTGATAAAAAGAAAGGCCCAATGACACTATGGCTGCAATTTCTAAAATAATTAAAGTGACATCTTGTAATGCTTCCCATACTAACTGAAGAAAGGTTTTTGGCTTTTTAGGAGGTATAAAATTCTTTCCAAACGCTGCTTCTCTTCTTTCCAGATCTGCAGGGTTTCCACTTAAACCTAATAAAAAGAAATAAATATCAATGAAAAATATCTGTATCTACTGAAAATACACCAGATCATTACACCTTAGATTGCAATTTACAAGGCCCTACAAAAATGTTTATTTTCATGCTTTAGGCTAAGCGAACAGCATTTCAGTCACTGAAAACATGTGCAGTGCTTTACTTTAAGAATTCATTTCTAGTAGATACTCAAGAATGGGACTGAGGGTTAGGCATGTATTCTGGTTGTCTAGCATACACAAGGCCCTGGAATTGAAAAAATGGACTTTTAATGTTCACTTTCCCAGTGGTTTATTTCTCATCATACTTTTATACCATATTAAAAGCTGTCAGACCAGAACTAATTATGACCATGTGATAATACTATAATATTTCCATCACCTTTAGGGTATTTTCCCTTTCAAAATGGGACAGTCATACATAATACATATATACACATACATATACATACACATATTTGAAGATCTATTTAGTTCTTGAATCCTGAATAATTAACTAAAAGTGTTTGACTTTTATTTACGGAACAACATGGAAAGTTATAATTTGTCACAACCTCTAAAAACTCAAGTGAAATGTCTCTTAGATTGAGAAAAGATTCAGCAAACCACAAAACATAGGAGACTTAGAATGATCTTTGTTTCAAGAAACAGGAAGTGCTACTGGCTGACTCTACTTTCTATCACTGTAAGGAAAAAGGCACACTACAGAACAGAATACTTATTGTTTGGAGTGCAGAATTATAAGATATGAGGGAGGAGGTTAAATGAACATTCCTTTGCCTTGCCTTCAACTTATTAAGTACATCCACTTTAATTTAACCCTGCTTACCCTGTTAAACCTACATAGATTCCATTAGTATACATATGTACATGTTATGTAGACACAATAATTCAAGTGACAAGTTTTACTTTAAATTGAACAAAGGACTGCAGATGCCAGAGGAACAGTACTTTTAATTTGTCACTTTAGACCCAATTTCAACTTGGATTTTTTTGGCAAGAGCCATTTCATGAAAAATTATGAAAGGAAGATACGAAAGAAGATTACTGGAAGGCTCTTGTTTCTAAGCACTTTAGGTATTAATCTCAAATGCTAAAGGCATATAGAGTAGAAACAAAATACAGAATAAAAAAATGAGAAGTGAACACAAACTTCAAGCAATTATTTTGTTGAAGGTTTCTGATGATTCCAGAGTTAAGTTCTTAGTTTCAACTGTAACATGGTTAAACTGGGCAGTTCAAAAAGCATTTTAGATTTCTGATGTGAGAAGTCATCACCCAAAACCTTCCACAGAGCACTAAGCTTGGAAACAGAATCACTGGAAAGAAGGGAAGTAAAGAACTACAGTAATAGTGGTGTTATTAGATAATAGGTAGATTCGTCTTGTCTCATGTCTTAATGCTCTCAATAGCATAAAGAAAAGGAAAGAGGGTAAATTTATTGTAACTCTTCTAAACTATCACCACACACATAAGCACACACACACTATATAGTTCATGAACAAAGTTGCTTGGCTTTAGAAGTTCAACTACTGAAATCTGTATAAATCATTTCTTGGAGTTAAAGACACTACTATTTGTTGGTAAAACCTGTAAAATTGTTTTAATGTACCAAAGAAAATGTACAGTTTATAAATCACAAATTATAGAGATATTGCTATTAAGTCAGAGAGAAAATAAATTACAAACTGATCGAACACAATAGTCTTAACTACATTTTAGGGCAAATACTTTCTGAAAAAAAATTGTGAATCTAACTATAATAAAGCTACTGGTTTCATAACAGCAATTGATTCTCCAACAGTTATTTGCTGAACATCTACTAACTAACTACTTCCACATACTGTTCTATATGTTGAGAAGCCAGTGTTGAAAAAGACAAGTTCTCTGTCCAACAAGTACACACTACAGGGAGACAAAAAGCTACATAATTAAAGCAATTAGATACAAATAAGAACAATAAAAAGAGGGCACACTATAACTCTTACTGGATTGCCACAGCATTTCAGAAGAGCTAACATATGATTTGAGTCTGAATGATGAGGAGTCATCCATGAGAAGGCTTAGAGCAAAACTCTTCCAGCAGCATAAAAACAAATACAAAAGCCCAGAGACCAAAACAAAAACTACTCAGAAGTCAGAAACAAGCCACTGGGGCAAGAGTCCAGTGAGGAAAAAAGGAAATGGTATGATGGAAGAAGCAGCCAGAGGCAAGATCTTGAGTATATGTAGAGGAATGGCATTTAAGTATGGTAGAAACCACTAGGTTTTAAAGCAGGGAAGTGGTAAATAATCTTCAGCTTAGAAATGTCATTTAAATTGCTATGTAAAGAAAAAATTAAAGAGAGCCAATAGCAGAGGGAAAAGACTAGCTGGAAGGTTATTTCAGTAAAAATAAGAGAGGAGGCTGGAAGGTGGCTCAGGGGTAGAGTGCTTGCCTCTCATGCATGAGTCCCTGGGTTCAATTCCTCAGTTACCACATAAACAGAAAAAGCCAGAAGTGACACTGTGGCTCAAGTGGTAGAGTGCTAGCCTTGAGCTGAAAAGCTGAAGGACAGCCCTCAGGCCCAGAGTTTAAGCCCCATGGCTGACGAAAGAGAGAGAGAAAGCGAGAGAGAGAGAGATGGGGGGGTGTGGGAGAGGGAGGAGAGAGAGAGGGAGAGAGAGAGAGGGGAAGGTGGTTAAGTTTGAGTTTTAGAAGTAGAGACTGAGGAATAACTATCTACCAGGTACCACAGAAGATCAGACAATCTGAGGAATGACTGGCTGTTGGATGAAAAGGAGAGAGAAGAATGGGGGGGGGGGATCAGTCCAAATACTAGAATGGAACAGTTTACTGTAATATTAGAAATACGGTTGGTTTCACTGACAAATCATAATGGATGTGTAATTCAGTGGGTGGGCAACATATATTTACGAAGAGAGGGGAGGTTTTTTTAGAATGCAGAATCAGTAGAAAGGGTAAGGTAAAAATGATTTTATTTATACTTCTAAAAAAAACAATTAGAGTTGCAAAGTAACTAGATGTCTAGTCAAATCAGAATGCAGGAAAAATCCCCTATGCCAGGGAATCATCAATATATAGGATTCAAACGAATCCACAAGACAGATGAGAGCTTCTAGAAAGCTAGTTTAAGAGAACAGGATGGGCTGGGCGCTGGTGGCTCATACCTGTAATCCTAGCTACTCAGGAGGCTGAGATCTGAGGATCATGGTTCGATGTCAGCACAGGCAGGAAAGTCCGTGAGACTCTGCTCTCCAATAAGCTACTCAGAAAACCAGAAGTGGTGCTGTGGCTCAAGTGGTAGAGTGCTAGCCTTGAGCTGAAGAGCTGAGAGACAGTGCCCAGGCCCAGAGTTCAAGTCCCATGACCGGAAAAAGGGGGGGGGAGAAGAACAGGATGAAGGCTACAAGCCTTGGAACACTCCATCATTTGATAGTCAGATGGGAAAAAGAAGCCAAAGGCAACTGAGAAGGAAAAGCTAAGTGGGAGGTGACAATGGGGATAAAGCACAACAAAACAAAACATGTTCATGTAGTACTACTGAAACCCAGGAAAAAAATTTAAAAAGAAAACACGCTGACTAGTGTTAGTAGGCTGAGAAAGATGAAGTCAGAGAATGGATTACTTTCTTTCATTAGATAATAGAGGCTGATGATCTAGATAAGGAACCTTCCAGTGGCATTACATAGAATAAAATCTGATTAGTCAGAACTGAACAGAGAATGGGAATGAGAAAATGAAAATAGCAAGTACAGATAATTTTTTCAGTGAATATGATGTAGTGGGGAGATGTAAAGGTGAGTTAAAGTGGTTTTTATTTGCATTTTGGCTTGCTAACAGTGAATGACAGACAGTAAATCAAGTTATTTACCAAAGATAATAAGAAGTAGAGAAGATGACAGCAATGATACAAAACACAAAGGGTAATACTGAAGAACCACCTCTGAAAAAGCAAAAAGGAATGGAACCACAGTGTGTATAGGTGCTAGCCTAATATAGATATAGGAAAATAATTGCAAGGAGAAATGAATATTTGTGAGAAAGATATATAGCAAGACTGATAGGGGAATGAAACTTGGTCCTAGTTTTAAAAATATACAAGATTCATCAATCATTTGGAGGGAGTAACAAGAAAATGTAAAATTCTGTGGGCTGAACTGGCAAGGAAGTCAAGGACATGCATGGACTTGATCTCTCATGGCTCAGCTTTACAAAGAAAACATAATCCAAACCCATCAAAACAACTTCAGAATTACATGCTTCTGAGGCTTGGATCCATCACTGTTGGAAGTAAAAAGAGCCATGTTCATTTATGAGTAGATAATGGCTCAATAGTACTATTATCTTTATATTTGAAAAACAAAGGCCTTGATTTTTATATAAGACCTTGATATTTGATATGAAAAAAGTAACATCTCAAATTGCTGGGGCTAACTCAGGAAAGACAGGAATGGTTTACTAGAATGTTGGAAGCATGTGGATTTAGCTGAAAATGATTACACCTACTAGTCCTATTAAATTCTGTACCTCAAATTGTGCCTGCATTTGTGTATGTATGTATCTGCATGTGAAAGTAGGAGGCAGCAGCAGCCGATCTGACTTCTCTGTGAGGTCCAAAGCAAAACAATGCAGATCTAGAAAAATATGTGGAAATTTGTGCTCATGTGCACACTTCTTGGTACGCAACCTAACTCTCCCTCTATTCTCAATTTCAAAGGAAGGGCTCATCTCTCCCCCTTTCCCAAGTTTTAGAACCCCCGGAATATTGTCAAACTTATATATTCATTCCTAAATATCTACCAAGTGCCAAGCACTGTGAAGGCAATAAACATACAAACAAGATATAAATTAGCCAGGATGCCTTTCATGAAATATTTGCCTCCAAGGAGTTTGGAAGGCAGAGTTTAGTAATTAGTTAAATACAGCAAAGTATATCAAGGATTACAATGAAGCCGTTGAGGAAACTGAGACATACATATGAAAGTAGAATCC